ACAACCCTTAGTAACTGATCTCAATAATTACAGTATTTCTTCTATCACAGTTTCTCTTTTAATCGTAACCTTGACCAGCGTATTTTTTTGTCTGTAGCATCTTATATGGTGGTGAATGTATGTTATTTATGCCATTCTTGAATTTTTATGAACATATCAATTATTAAATAAACTGTAGCTGCATATAGTCTTGTGAAGATAATGTCTTTCCACACCTGTTTCTTAAATTCTGTACTTCATCTTAGATTAACTTTGCAATTTTTTTAGATATGTAGTCTAAAATTTGTAGGTTGTTCGAAAGAGTATTCAGTTTACTGAGTTGGAGGACAGATTGAAGGCTGTGATTTGTTGACCATCAGGTTTGTTGAAGAAATAAGGCTTACGCTGTACTTAATTTTACAGTATATATAGTAGAAATAAGGCAGTGGTCCAGTAGCTTTGACAGGAAAGAATGTTAAAGGAATGTTCCTCCTATCAAGGAATTAATTTTGATCAAAAGTCATCCTAAAATTAATAAATGTAAGGATTGAAGGGTTGGGAATTTTTACCAAAATTGACCTTGTTGGGTCTGATTTGCAGCTTAGATCTAAAGGAGGAACAAAACTGTGCCCTAGATCTGATTTCTATTTATGTTTTAATTTTTTAATAAAAACAGTTTCTGTTCACAAGGATCACTAAGGAAGGAAATGTTTCACAAGTAGACAATATAAATCAATAGCAATATTTCCTGAGTGGTCCTGAGACAAGTATCCCTAAGAAGCAAGGATGATTGTCTTCTTGCACTGTGAATTAACTATCAAGTGCAGCAATGGTCTTCATGCTGTCATTCGTTATTATTATAATTTTTTTTTTTTAAGCAAAGGCAATTAGCTCAAAGAGCTAACCTCTTACCAAAAGAGGCTTCCATGCACTCAAACAGTCTGAGCATCACTTTGTCCAGGGGCAGAAAGCCCCACTGTGTCCTATAGCAGTTCCTAAATACTGGACTTGAAGTCTTGAATTCGGTTGGTCTCATGGGGGTGGGGTGCAGGAATGTCCTATAACAAAGTTTTGGTGCTGCTGTGCAAGATTTGAGGCATTGGTGTGTAATATATTTGAACTTAATGTTGAGCTGCCAGAGTTATATTTCATACCTTTGCACATATATAATAGATGCAATAAAGGTATTTTCATGCACGTTTCTGACACAGTATTTTGTGCCATCCAAAACCTGTCAGAAGATTTTCTGGGGTGTCATGTGCGTATGCTCCCTCTGGTACCGTATTTCTCATTTTGCTGTACCAGCAAGTTAATGTTTGCTGCTTCTTAAAAAAAAAAAAAAGAAAAAAAAAGAGACAAAAAGAAACAACACACAAACAATAAAAAAACCAAAACAAAACAAAACCAACAAAAAAACCCCCAAAAAACTTCTACAGTTTTGTATCTAAACTCTTCAAGGAAAAAGGAATTTTTTAGTGAAGGATGTCAGCTCAGTTGCTGGCAGAAATACATATATAGTTCAAATAGTCGCACAGTATGATTTCTTTCCATGTACACTGGTTACAGTGTAGCAATAGAGAGATGACATTTCAGTATTAGAGCTTTTTAAGACCTTTACAAACAAGATATTTAAATGTTGAATAAGGATTTAAATGTTGGTCAATTTTAATGCTAGCGCGTGAGAACTACACAATTAAATCTGGAATCTGTTATCCCAGTGTTTAGTTTGTAAATAACAAGAAGACAAACTGAATTCATTATCTGAGGGAAAAGAAGCATCCGCAGTTTTGTTACAGATAAAATTTATTCTATTTTACAAAACTAAAATCATTAAAAGGCAAATTAACAGACATTAAAAATGGGAAATAAACATTCAAAATTAGGAAAAAGTATGGCTCTTGCTAGTGGTGTTAGGTGAAAAGTGATTCCTTGTTCTGACAAACTTTGAAATCTTTATTGCATTAATGTGTTTCCCAAGTGTGACAGATTACCATTGTAATGTCCAGCAAATTACAGAAGGATACCTCTTTAGCCCATTTTTATTTTCTTGTTACTTTTATGGAAATTAAATTTTAAGGATATTTCAGTCTTTTCAGCTATACAACTGAGTAATTTTCTTTGCTTCCTGCTCAAACAGTCCCAGCAGTCTTAGCCATGTTGCCTAGATACTACTCCATCTCCTGCGGCATCTGTTAATTGGCCAGTTCAACAGGAGGATTCATACTCTAGATAAAAGAGAAATCTTGGGGCGGGGAGGGGGAATCATTTGTTAGCTAGTAGCCTGAGTGGTGCTGTAAATTTTGTTGTTGAGAGAAAGAAGTTTTAATTTGCTCAGTTGTAGGGCATTAATCAGGAGAATTGCTGGTATGTTCAGAATTTGGTTACATGCATGAGGATTACATTCAGGATAGAAGTATATTGTAGCCTGAGGTGTCTGTCTGCTTCAAGCAGAATGGCTCTTATTTCTATTGTTTGATTTTTATTTTTTTTCTTCCCCTGGAATCTATTTCACAAGTAGTAAGCTTTGAATTTATATTCAGAAATATGTCTAGCAGACATATTTCACAATTCACTTCTGCAAGCATGTGCTTAACTTGTGCTCACTTTAAAAATAATGTAATCCAAAGTTAAGTAACTTGCATCTACATATGTATATGAAAAGCTATATCAATACATTGGAATAAAATTTTATCAATTATCATATATTTTATTATTTTATTTTGGATGTTAATTTATCTTGCCTGCCATTTTTTTGATAAATCTTTTTGCAAAGCACTGATAAATACTTTTCTTTCTTCTTTCCTTTCTTCCTTCCCATGAGTGATTGCTGACAGTTTTATCAGTACAGGTTTGATTAATTAGAATTTTTTTTGTAAGTAGAGCAGCTAAAGAAGCAGAATGGATAATGCGGTTCTTTTGGTTTTCTTGCATGTGTAGTTGCAGAACATGCTGATTAAATAAACAGGGTTTAAAGAAAATGATGACTGACAGTTTATTCCTGCTCACAGTTTTTTTTAAAGTGCAAAGTTTAGAAAATTGGTAGTTCAGCCTCCTACATCTGTAAAAAGCTTAAAAAGCTATTTGCTAATGGGTTTAATTTAATTTTCTTAACTTAATTCTTCCATTTTTAAATTGCAGTGCTGGGCTGTGAAAACAGTGAAATATACAAAAAGTTCTGTTTGAATTTCGCATCTGGAGCTGGATTAAGCTTTCTAATGTATGCTTAGTACCACAGGAAGCTTCCACCGCTTTAGGAAGGAACAAAGCCTTTTTTATATACCTCTGCTTCTCAAATATTAATCTTCATTTGCATTATTAAAATTGTAATATACAGAAGTAGTTGTAGATTTAGAATGACGCAAATTGGTTGGTTTTCCTTTCAATTTGAAGTAAAAATGAAAAAAATATTTTAATATTTTAATCTCATTTTGCTTTTTGTCTCATTTTGCATTTTTTATTACTGGCAGTTGTACCATAATTTACTGTAACATTTTCCTCCCAAGACTTTTTTTTTTCCTGAAGGTAAATCAAATACTGGAAAATCCAAGGTTTATAAAATGATGTGACAATGAGCTACCTTTCTATTGACAGAGGCAGTGATTCTTATGAGACCTCCTGTACATGCATACTGTGAGCATAGCTCTGCAAGAGGTGCTTTCTCATTTAAGAGTTTCTCAG